AAAAAAGAATTGGCATCATTGGCATACTATGGTGTAAATATTACCTGATTAAAAACGTCATTCGCTTCAAAAATATATAAATAGAAAATAACAATAGTAATGTTTCAAGCGCTCAAAAACGGGCACACATTTTCAAGACTTACCAGACGTGAATGAGAAGAAACAAAAGTGATTTGAAATGTAAAACAAAAAATTGCCAGAGAAAAATGGAAAAATGAAAGTTTATTTTATCATTATTCGTCGACAAATTTTTATTTTCTATTTCAAATCACTTTTGTTTCTTCTCATTGACGGCTGGCAAGTCTTGAAAATGGGCGCCTGTTTTCGAGCACTTGAAACATGTCGATTGTTTTTTCCTATTTATATATTTTTGAAGTGAAGTGAATTAAATTTTTTATCAGGTATCAGGTAATATCTTACGGCTTCAGTTTCTTGGAATTATTCATTTAATATTGTGAAAATATTTTCTTTTGTTACATTTTGAAAAAGGGCCAATTTAATCTCTAAAATCACAATACACTTTTTTCTTCATTCCAAAATTTCATATACATATATATAGATATATATTTTAAACAATTTCGAAATTATTTTCTTCAGTTTGAATTACGAGAAGTTTGTTTTCAAATTGTGTAACAAAAAAATTTATTTATTTATTACCAAAACAATTCAACAAAAAAAATCCATCTTTAAAATATTATGATTGAATAACTTCAAAATAAATTTAAAATGCCACTGAATAAATATTTCCAAAAAGTATAAATAAGTTTCAAAATAAGATTTTTTCGTGGATTTCAAATACTTATTTATTTACATTTGGCATCAAATATTTTAAATACGTCATACTTAACACTGAATATATATTTCAACACATAAACAAGTTTGCAATTAACAAGAATAAATTTTATAACGCTAAATATGGTGTTATGAAACAAAATTATAAAGCTCAATATGTACACGCCACGACTAATTTCAAATATTAGAGTGCGATAATTAATCTTGTGGAAATTTTAAATTTGCATTTCAATAAATATATTGATTACGCACATATACAATTAACATGAAAGATCAAAAGGTCATACCAAAAAAGCCAATTTTTTTAAGGAAAAATATTTGGTTCACATTTAAATATCAGACATTTAAATATCATATACATATAAATTTAAATATCATGTAATAATTTGAAATTTTTATAATTACTTCAGAAATATAAATTTTTAACTCTGCATGCAGGAAATGTCATTGAATATATAATACTTCTTATTTTATGAGATAAAGATCTGCAGAATGTAGTCATATGTTTACTCCAAAATAAACATTTAAAATTTCCAGTTGATTTAGATAAATACAATCTGTTACCTTTTATACATAATCTCAAAGTTATGAATAACTTAATATTACTATAAGATTCAAAAATTTCCAGTTACGAGTAATTGCGTTGAAGAAGTAAAAAGTAACATTTTATATCTCAGAATGATTAACATACTTAAAACTAAAAAATACGAAAAACTATATTAACACTTCAAAATTAAATTCCGATATCACCACTTTGAAGTCTGTAATTATCCCTAATTATTATCAGTAATTATTGTCACTTGAGGATAAATTTAATTTTCATATTTTTGCAACATAAATAGTAACTTATATTTTTATCAGAAAGTGTGAAATCTTTAATTATAAATAGTTGTAATCCTTAAAAACAAATAAAAATGATTTATAGTTTTAAAATTATTAATGATTTTCCGTATATGAACAATCACAATGTGTATGCTTATCTTTGATTATTGATGCAACGCATAAAAAATTTCATTTGATATTAACTTATATTTTGCATCATATACATTAATTATTAAAATACTAACAAATAAGGAAAATAATAAGCATTTTTTGAAATCAAGAGTTAGAGTTCTAGGTGGTAATTGTCTCACATTGTCCACAGAGTTGCGATTCCAAATTATTTCAAGACGTTTTTTCACTGAAGCGTTTCCAAATGGATTCACCAAATGAAAAAATATAAAAAAAGCTTTTAGTTTGTATTGTCTTTCTTTTTTTTAGTATTTGATATCTTGCGGATGACTTGATGTCTTAAATGGATGAAACTAAATAATAATGCAAGTTACTTCGTACATCAACAATTTCAATAAAAGGTATATTGAATATAAATCAATAATAATGTTATATAAAAATAAAGAATTATGAGGTACTATTATTATAATTAAGGAACTAATACTATTCAAGATACTTTTTAAAATGCTACTTTTTCTGCTCTTTTATCTAGAGTGCTCTTTTACCTATATTCTTTAAATATTTTGAAAAGAGATAATAGTAACATTATAATTAAACAAAACTTAAACTGAAACATAATTTAAAGTTACAAAAAGACGAAATATATTTTCTTAAAACATTTATAACAAATTTCAAAAATATTTAAATTCTCCAAATTTTATTAATTAATTTCATATATATATCGATTTAAAGCATGTAGTTTTACAGATAGTGGAAAAAAATATTTTAACTAAGCGATACAAGAACACAAAATTTGAAACAAATAAATAAATAATATAAAAACATTCAGCAAGAGAAAATATTTATTTTTAAAAATATTTTTAATAAAATACTGCAAAAATATTTACACTGCTGTATAATTTCATTTATCATAATAGATTGATTTGTCACTATTTTTACTCTGTAAACATTAAAATCATCTATTTTTATGTTACGAAAGCTCGGGTGAAATAAGTGTTTTTTTATAGTGTCAATATGAATGATATACTTTATAATTTCAACAATTTATTTGATAAATATAGATGATTTAATAATTTTGGAAGACAGGTTTTCTATAAGATATGAATCAATGCAACTGGCAGCTTCAATCTTTTTTCTTATTTGAAAAAAAAAGTATTCTAAAAAAAAATTTTTGCCGTTATCGATACAATTTTTCTTGCTCAAAGTAACTTAAAATAAAGTAAAGCACCCTTGCAACAACCAGTTGTTGGCCAAAGGTAACATAGAGGACTCAATAATTTTAGACCAATGGCGGTATTGTGGTCAGCATTGCGCTCCGAATGCCTTCATTTCCCAAACAAGTTGGTACCAATCAATCTGAAATGATAGTGCGGCTTTGAGGAGAACTCCTCCAGACTCAAAGTCTGGGGCTGTCTGCTGCTATGGTAACAAGCGAGAGCACATTTCTAATGGGGGTGAAATGGAGGAAAGAAGGTGTCAATTGGTTTACTCATGACGACCTACGCTAAGATTAAGACAAAACTATTCACCCCGCACCCCTATTCGAAGTGACCTTTCCTCGTAACCATAGTACCCGCCACGATGCGAGACGGGTGTCTGGAGGAGTTCTTCTGAAAGCCGCACTATAAGTAGGCTTCAAGCCTCGACAGAGGAGAAACCTGATCTTAGACAATGACAGATCTGTGCCCTAACAACTATGCCATCACGGCTATAACTCAATAATAACAATGCTAATTATTTTTCTACCAGCATTAGAATGCTAATTTAGTGTTAAATATTTTTTTAAATGAAGGTAATTAATCGATAGTAATGGATAAAGCAGTTGTAAAAAATAAAAAGACAGCAAAGCCATTAAAATCAAAAACAGAAATTAGTGATAACTCAGTGCCTTTATCACTGTACCGCCATGGCCATTACCCAATATTAACAATGCTATTTATTTTTCTACCAACATTAAAGTACTAACTTAGTGTTTAAAATAAAGTAATTGATCCGTAGCAATGGATAAAGCAGTGTTTAACAGGACAGCAAAACCATTGCTATAAATAAAGAAAAAAAGTAGTAAAGAAGTGCATAAGCAATAATTTAATTAAAGAAGCAACTAATCTGGAATTTGAAAAGCTCAATCTTGTGCAATGATTAAATAAGCTCGTTATTTTGCAATAAGTGGCATATGCACTATTGAAAATTATTAAGCTTAAACTGTGTATATCTTTTGAATTTTTTTAAAACTTATTATTTTTATAAATAATAATATATTTTAAATAATAATGCTGACATTGATGTATGAAAATTATTTATGTTAGAGGCTATTTTATCATACTTATTTACAAAACCACTATATATTATTAATAATAATCATTATCAACTATATTTTCCATCAATATCTTACACCACTTTTGAATTCACTGCTCTGGAAGTTCAACTCTGAATTTAACTATATATTATACCTCAAAGCACGAAAAGCCAATAAATATACATAAAAGTTCAAAAAAGCATATGGTATATGAAATATATAAGTTTCTTTATATACTTTCCACATCTATATTAGTTGCAAAATATGGAAGTTTATTTATGCATATAGAGTGAACGCGACAATATGGAAAACCATGACTTAAGATTTTGAACATATTTTATTTTAACTAAGTATTAACTAAGTGGTGTATTTACAAGAGTCATGTCTTCTTCGAATCTATTTTCAAGTGTTCCGTTAAGAAATTCTGAGCCATATCGACCCTTTATGTTCGAATCCATTCTATGTATGTCATGGCTGGCTGTAGCATTATGAAAATTCATCACGGAATAACAACACATAATACCCATATGAACAACACATAAAACCCATATGAATGCGCATATAAACACAGAGCAGAATTGAACTTAGGTGATATGTGATGAACGAGTTTTGCATTTGTAGTTATACTGCCATCTCCTGAGAAATAAAATAAAGCTGTACTTACTATATAAGACCAGTTTTAAGCAAATAGATGATACACATACCAGCATAGTATGTTGTGCTCGCATGCTTCAAGAAGTATATAAACACCATGCAATGTACACAACATTTAAATGAGCTACAGCAAATAAGTAGCAGCCAACAAGTGCTTAATTCAACACAAAAGCACATGCTGATTTTAGGAAATCATTGGTATGAGGCATGGCAGCGTTTTTTTAAATCCACAATACAGACAAAACTTAAATATCCAGGGGTAGGTTGATGTAAATCGAAACACATCCGCTTGCATGTTGTGTTACCATTACATGGTTGCAAAAAGCAATAATCTTCTCTTTTTTTTTTTTCAATTTAAATTGTCTACAAAGCACCAAAAGCATCAAAGAAAAATAACTTTAATATAACTTGCCATCTTCTTCTAGTCCATTAGAGAGAAAACACAGTTTGATTCAATAAATGCGTGGAGAATATAATTAATACTTCCTACACAAAAATTGTGACTTCTAATTACCGAACATTTTTTCAGCAATATGTCTTTGGAATCTCAAAGAGTTGATTCGAAAGTCAAAATAAGCCTTCGCCAACAAGTGAGTGATGAATGTTCTAAAAAAAGAAAACGTGATACGGTTTTTTCTTTTCACATTCTTTTTCAAGCATCTAATATCCTAGTCATGGCCTCACAAAAACGAATTCATTGTAATGATTCCAGCGATTTTCTTCAAAGTCGATCCCTGGTTTCAAGGGTTCATTACCACTTCCAGAAGTGCCAGAACCAGCTGCTGCCACGCAATGGAATCCAGCTTCCTGAAGGTTGTCGAAGGCTTGTTCCAGAAACATGTGCTTAAGGAAAAACCGCGCTGTGTACCTATTTTCATTGACTCTATCAGGATCACGTGATTCATTTAGGGTGTCTCCAAACACTTCTCGACATAGTGTGACTCTGCCGCATACTAAAATTCTAGTGAGCTTTCGAAACTTCACATCCGTCAAACCTTCTCTCCCGAAAGCAAAAGATCCTCGATATCCAATGGTGATATATCCCGGTCGGCCACTTTCGGTCATCATGCCCCCGGGGGAAGTTGGAGTTGATACGGAAGACATTCTGGGAAGAGGACTGGGAATCGTCTTCGTGGTTGTAGATGGTGCAAGAGAATTAACACATGCCACTAAGTCAGACATGTTAAAATACTCCGCCTCGTGCTTCAGACGTTCACGCTCGTGAAAATTTTCTGGTAAAACTAATTTCTGATTACGAAGAAAGTCCAGGATATAACGGAACAAAACGCCATCTCTGTCAACAAAGTATCGTCCTTTGTTGTCCTTGCCAATGCTTTCTTTGCCAGTAAAGATCTGACCGAGAAGACAGTTTGTATCCTTTGTCAATGTGCTAAGTGAAGTGGTGTAGAGTACACCACCCACATTTAATTCAACAACTGAGGGAAAGTCATCATTTCCTTCAGGTTCCATTCTAGGATGATGGAAGGCCTAGAATGAAACAAAAACACCAATAAATATACAGATAAATGTTAGATACTTAAATAAGTAAAGTATTATTCATTTTAAAAGAAAATAATTTGAACAATATTTTGTATCGTTTCATTTTTAAAACTATTGAAATGGAAAATATTTAAGCAAAATGTTTACCTGCAAGAGAAAGTTAAGCATTAATTTATGAGTTACGATGGATTGACAATACGGAAGTGCCGAAGGCGGCACTTACCATTTCGTCAGAAATTGATGTCGAAAAGTAAGATACGGAAATAAATAAGAGTTCGATATAAAAATGGAAAGCAAAAAAGGGGGATGGGACATAGTGAGGTAAAATGCCGCATATTAAATTTATGTAAAATAGTTTATCTAATAAAACTTGGTTTTTAAATATTAAATAGCGAAGATACTCTTTACCATAAAATCGCTTATAATATGTAAAAATACATTTGAAAAAAAAACTGTTTATTCCTTTAAAATTAGGCATTATGGGAAATCGGGGTGAAAAATTAGAGTATCCATTAATATATTCCTATAATTTTATAACTCACAAATTATTCAGCAACGATAAATCAAACTTATCTAAAACTAGGAATAAATTCTCAGCAAATTAAAATATTCAAACAAATTGAGGAAAATTGTCATGGAAATATATCAATTTAATTGTATCTTTAAGAAGAAGATAATTTAAAAGAAATCTAAACGTGAAATCTTGTATGCTGGTTTCATTTAAAATTAAAATTAAACGTAAATATTTCCCAGAGCAAATGTATGTATTTTTTTAATTATTTATCTGTATTTGAAATACTGTTAAAGCAAAATTATTAAACCCAGAAGAATAAATTAAAGCATAAAATTGTGAGGAAAGAAATCTTCGTGCAACGAAAAAAAATAAAGACCATGAAGATGGAAGACAGAGGATTTAATGAATATTTAATTTAGAGCTTAACGCTAACTATACGTAGTTTTTACTAAAATCATTTATTTAGAATACTAGAAGTGACAGACCTAGTTGATACATAAAAGATCCCAATGCTTTTTCTTCAAACATATATATCTCCAAACAATGTTTTTGTTTTTATTTTTTATTTCGAATTGGCAATCGGGACTCTCATCTTTTGTTTTAAGTGGAGTTTCATTCATAATTAAAGTGGAAAAACAAATCTTTACCCACGAGCTTAAAATTCGGATTTCATCTAAGTTACTTGATTTACAGAACTAGGTATGTTTATTTCATAGTTTTGCTTTAGCTGTAAATTAATTTTTGGCTATTTTGTGTAGAATTTTTGTTTATGAAAAGAAATGCCCATTTTGCAAATATTGATATACTAGTAACTCTTGCATGTTTCAATAGCTGCAATTCCTAAATATAATAGAAATTGTTTTTCATATTAATTTAAAAATTGCAGGTGTTATTAGTTCAGTCGTAAAAAAAGGAGAAAAAACGTCATTTAACCCTTTCGCGCCGACTGTCACAAATACGTGACAGCAAAAAACCGTATCAATCAGGGTAAGAAGATAAAACTGGTAATCAAAGTATTTCTTTAGCAGTTTATTTGTGGGCGGAGTTATAATTTTTTGATTTATTTAATTCACCATTACTTTGTTCAAAATAAAACTATTTAGTTATACTTTGAATTAACATTGATTACATATATGATTAAACTAACAATAATTAAAGTCAAAGTAAAGTAAGTCTGTCAAATTAGAAACGACTACATTTAGGTTACCGTTTTTTATGTAATTACGTTCTGATCCTAATTTTATACGAATACTTTTCTGAATCACCCGTCCCCAAGGGGTTAAGCAAAAATATGCAATCGACATTTTGTTTTAACCGTTTTGAAAAAAATAATTTTTACAGTTCATTAGTTGCATATGTTATGAATTTTAATTTGCTAAAAAAAAATTTCATCATACCGCAAACGTGGCTTATCGCTTTAACGAAAGAGGATTTTGTTTTAATTTTTGATTAGATACATTAATTTAATTTCTATACTAAAACGTTCAGGGTACAAGAACCCTTGACAGTAAAACACATTTTGACGTAGTGCATAAAAATTCATCAGGAGTAAATCATCATCATAAAACTCAAACATAGGTAAGTTAATACTCAATTTTCAACTGGAGACACCCCACTCCATAATGTTGGCCCATATTTTGAAGCATCCTACAACACGGTGAAATATTTTTTGCTAGTGGTAGTGAACACAAATTTTAAAGGGCTGTATTCTAACTTTGGCACCCTTAAAAGTTGAACTGAAAATTCACAATCTATTCCCTATATTCACCCATCATTATGTGATGACAGGTAGGTGATCTCATCTCTGCCAATCTGCATTACTCGAAGCGGGGCTGCCAACTTTCTACGCTTTTTGTAAAAATTATTCTAGTGGTAGCTAATTTTGAGTTTTAATGTATTATATTTTATTCATTTAAACTTATTTTTCACACCATTGCATTCAAATGATTTGAAATTTCATGTGCAACTCAACTTTGTTCCAGCTTTCTCGTGGTGAGGCTTTTAAAATGTTGGCAAAATCACCAAAAATTCTGAAAGCTTTGGTTTTTGAATGTTTACCACTCTCTGAAATATTTCGCAAAAAGTGTAGTAGTTGGCAGGCCTGCTCAAAGGAAAAATTAAAACTGATTTTTGAATTTTCCCATGTGAAGGAAAAATAAAGATGATAATAATAAATAAACAAATAATAACTGAGAAAGAAATTTTAAGCACATTTTAGAATAGCTACCTGGGTAAATATAATCGCCAAAATCTTTATACCAGGCAGTAACACTTAACCCTTAGAAAATCAGTGCATGGTATGCTGGGCAATGACACTTAACCTTAAAAAAACCTCATTACAGACTAAACCGGGCAAATGTATACTTGACAGTAACACGTAACCTTAAAAAAAACATCAGTGTAGGATATATCACGCAAGCTTGAGCTGTAGGTATGATTTTGAGAAATTATAAGCATTTCCGTATCAAAAAAAATCATTAGCCAAATTCCATTTCATTCCAGGGCTGTTGGCATTGAAAACTGACGCTTTTTATAAAACTCACCGAACTTAATAACAAAATAATAAAAAAACGACGAGCAAAAGCAAGTGACAAAATGGCCATCAAAACAGCATTTGAAAAATCCCTTTCGTGGAGAAGCGACTGCGTTTTTCCCTAACCCTTCTTTGTATTATCCTATTTTCCCCCCTGATTACCACTCTTATAGAAAGCAGGCCCTCCTAGACATTTCAATAGCACACTAAAACATAAGTTTTGATACAAACAAAATTTCTTTAAGACGTTTAGCGAGGCTCAAAAATTTGAACTTTGAACAGCAAGAAACTAATATACTTCAACGAGTACCTGGTCAATGCTACCAAAACATGTTACTCAAGCTTATGTTTACTGTCAGCAACAGATTGATCACGACTGAGTTTATATGACTTCTAATTTGAATGACCTTTATATTTGTTTAAATAATTTATATGTACTGGTAATTAAATAATTTTGAATTCAGTCTATATAAACAACTATACAATGCCTAGCTATTATTAGGAAAAATATTCTCTCAAACTACGGAAATTCAGTAGCTGTTGGAAGGTATGTTATAAAGACATATGATTTAATTCGCTTTTTACCTTTTGCCATTACTTTTCCCAAGTGCGAAGTGCGGTATAGCCAAAAGTAGCAATTGCACTAGAAATAAAACTAATTTCGACACAACTAAATTATTCATAAAATATTGACTAAGTTACAAGAGCACCAACTAGTGTTCACGTAACCTAGAAACATACTTTGTATCAAACTTAGTGACCGTGTTCGTTAAACTAACTAAATAAACGCGGTTTGAGCATATTTCCATTTTTAATTTTCATAATGGACTTGTGGAAGAAGCAACAGTTTTCGTTCTTTTATACACGTCAGTACCGTTAATAGTTCTTTCCTGTTGGCACTCTGTCAAACACATTAACCTGCGAAAAATGATTCCATTGAGAATAAGTAATGTCCTTTTTTCCTGTATTTTTATGCGGATCGATTTAAACCCAATAAATAACTGAAGCTGTCAAGCTGACAGCTTTAAGAGGTTTCCAAACCACGACAGTAATTCAATTCTTCATCGTTTCATTAAATCGGCAATTTCTCAGTCGACGACACTCGTTAAATTTCTGTGGTCCTGCAGTTATTTTTGTTGCCATAATCTTTTCAACAAATTAAATTATATGACGAACTCCTTCAAAAAACAATATGGAGGTCGTCTTCGTAAATTGCCACTGCCGTTTAACAAACTTGACGAAAATTAATCTCGACGGCGAGTATAAACTTAGTTTCAGAATAAATCTCCGGAAAAGGATAAGGCATATGTTTTTTAAAAGAGTTCTTTTTATTGCCAATTTTGCATCGAAAAATATATTGACAAGATAAACGGCTGAATTTGTTAGACATATTTTTGTTTTTCAATTTTTCATATTCTTCAAAATTTTACGTTCAGTTTCTTGAATTGCGAATGGCTAACTTTTAAAGATACTTATTTAATCATCGATTGTAAACTGGTTGCAACCATTTTGTTCAGAAATATCATAGAGTAGAAAATATAATGTAGAAAAATATATACTACTATAATTAGAATAGTAACTATGATTCAAGGTATTTTAAAGCTTATTTAAATGCTAGCCACCTCCGGTGATCAGCTGGTCCGCCTTTTTAAATAAGTAGAATTTCAAGTATTTAGATATTTAAAATCGTGCATTCAAAATTCCTGACAATGTGTAAGTATGAACTCATATTACTCGAGTGAGAGTGAATTTAATTTTTGTATTTTACATGTTCGTATGATATCGTGGTGAATTTTTTTATTAAAATGCTCAGTATAACATATGCTAACATTTAAAAAAATATGCTTATTATCTCAAAGTCAATATGCTAATTACATACGTTAATATGCAAAGTTAATACGCATCAAAACAATATGCTAATTATGATGAATAATAAAAGAA